ARGRMTKKWAMYKKTTYCMWTCAGACACAGTCTAAGTGCTTTCTTTGAATGTCACCCACAGGATCTGTGCAGGGTTTGGTTTTTCTGCCACTGGAATCAAGGACAGTTTYACCCATTCAGGACACACTTCCAGAACCTGAGCTCTAGATTTGCACTGAAATACCACAAATTATCTGGGAATCTCACAGAAAAGACCAAATTATATTAGTAGAAGGGCTCCTCTACCAAACACTGCTAAATAAAGAGATTTTCTGGTTAGACATGCAGCTCTCTCCATGCACAAGCACTGCAGCTGAGTGACATCAGCACCAGGAGAAGTTCATGGACTTTGCTGGGATGAAGCACAGGAGGTTTTTGGGAAGCCCTGGGAGGAGGAAGCACAGCAATGAAATTCCCATCTCAGCCAGGGCAGGGGCAGRAGCCTCAGTTACACACACAGAGTGTTAGTGCAGCAAAGCTGAGGAGCTGTGAACTCCACACAGATATTCCTTCCTGCTGGATAAATGTGCTGCAGAGCCAAAGGGTCCCTAATTCCATATTCTCATGGGCCAGCAATCACAGGAACCCCAGGGAGTCAATATTTCAGGGAACTGTGGCACCATGGGTTGACAAAAGGCTAAAAAAAAATGCTTTGTTTGCCATTGACCTGGGGAGCAGCTCAGACTTAAAACAGAAACCTATCAGTATATCAGATATTGATATATTAATCAATATATCAGATATTGATATATCAGAGACCCTAAAGCAGCCCAGGCTGGAAGGGACACTGAAAATCCATTGATCCAGCCTTTCACAGCATTAAGCCAGGATGAGATCCAGTAATGAAGAAAGGAATAAATGACAACTCTCTTTAAGGATGCTTGGACATTAAAACACCAGGCTTAGCTACTACTGGGACCATTTTCTTTCCTCAAAAACCAGAAACTGTAATGATTGTTCAAAGAAATTTTYAAGAYTYACACAAARAATKAATTCCCATTRAATGATGACAACTCTTTACAATCAYAAATAAAATTYCAACAGAARAAGTTTTAGGGCCTTGAGGATACTKATTTCAATTTGTGCTGCCTCTAGATTGGAATAGAACCTTACACATTAAAGGCCTCTACTCTACCAGAATACAGAATAAATTTACACCATTTTCCCTCCCAAATGAACTCTAAATCATTCTTGTATCTCCTTTGAAATCCTGAGCCAAATCAAAGCTAAGGTAGGGGTTTGGATTTTTGATTTTGTTTCTCTTCTCACCTCTTTCTGCCACTTCAGTGTAGGATGAGGTCCTGGAGAGCTGACTTTGCAAACGYTCAATCTCTGCATCTTTGAGAGCCAACTGCTCCTGGAGCTGGGCAATCTCAGCCTGAAAGGGAGCAAAACAAATTCAGAGCCATTTCCCCACCAATGGTCTGTGATTCTTTGCCAGGAATTAGAAGATGTCTGAGTATAACACTRTGAGTGATGTCAGAATATTTCATAAACACTGCAACCTCAGAGCTCTTTGAAATGCCTTTTTTTCCCTTAATGTCCAATTCCTGTCATCTCTATGATTATTTTTTGCTTCCTTTCTCTTTCCTTATATTTTTCTTCCTTTCCATTTCTGCAGCTTCTCTCCCTCAGTGGGTTTTATGATTTTTCTCTCCTATTTTCCTTCTGCTCCTACACTTTCCATAGTCTCTGTCTTGGCAGTTGGCCACACACTGCTTGAGAAAATATTTTCCCAAAGACTGCTCATCTCCACCACGTCAGAGAAAACATTTTCATGGACTGAAGAACTATGATCTTAATAGGAAAAAAAAAAGACATGACAGCAACATTCTGTTATTCACCCGGAAAATCTCAAAAGAAAGAAACACTAATACAAACAAAACAATATCTGTTTGTCGTGTCTGGATCAAGCTATCAAGCATTAAATAGRAATCTCACTTTAATAATTTGAAATGTTTCTCCAAGATTCAAGCACAGCTCAAAAGTCTGTCATTCATAAGAGCAGGGATTATTACAAGATGATTACAGAATAACAAGGAAAAATTGCATGGTGCTTTTTAATCAAGTGGAAAAGGACTAAAAACTCAAACTAGAAATAACAGTGAGAATGTCCCGCTAGAAAAATTAAATCCTGGGGRAAATGATGAAATTTTTCACAATCTCCAGATTATGACCCAACAGCTCTGCACGATTTAAGGTCAACACAAGTGGAAGGCAGTCGGGCACTTTGATAGACACGAAGCCAAAGCAGATGAGCTCATGGTCTATTTTGAGCTCAATGCCCATGAAAACAAATTCCATAGTAAACCAACACCCAGCAAACTTTGCATTCTCTCCAGGCTGGAAAGTGTATTCCACAGAGGATTTTCACCATTACACAAACCAAGGCCACAAAACCTTCAAAGGGGCCTTTGCTCTGAGCAGATCTTTGCAAGTCAAAACACTTTTTGTGGCTTCTTAAAATAAGAATTGCAAAATGGAGAAGACTGAAAAATGCATAAAGGGAGCAAAATAGCTACAACACCTTCAAACYAAAATACTTATTCCAAAGCTGGTTAAAGAAAACTTCATTGTAGACCTAAAACATGGTATATGTAAGAAAAGTAAACATGGATGAGAAGTGGAGCATATCCCTTCCCAGCTGATTGTAAATCTGTTGTTAGAAAATGCCAAATATTCTGCTTACCTTAGTAGCTTTCAATTTCCACTCRTATTGATTTCTTTCGTTTTCCAGTTCTTCCACTTTAATTTTGAGGTGTCTGAGTTCCTGCAGCAAACCCTGTGAAAGAGGAGCAGAAGTTAAAGGGAAGKTTTTTCTGGAAAATAAGAATTTTTTGTAGTCCTGAATTACAGATCATGCACGAACCACACAGTGGTGAACTCTGAACTGCCACATTAAAAACTGTGCCCTGCTCTAAGGAGTTAATCYTTAAATGTCCTTTCTCCCATTCCTTGATAGAATTAGATCTTTCTCATTCTRCAATATTATTAAATACTTGATGGAGCTCTGACAAGGCAAAAATGTCTTKAAATGAGCTGAGGAAAGGAAAAGTTTGGAGGTGTAACCCAATTTTGGAATCTTGAGCAGTAAATACATTAAGCACTGCACTAACARCTTGGATTACAAGAATATCTATTTTGAAATGCTCCCAGATTTGACTCTCAGATTATTTCTCCAATCTGCAGTTTGTAGCCTTTTAAACAGTTCTGCACAAACACAGGCCCAGAAACAACAGCACTATCTTCMAAATAGGTGTAACACACAAAGCAGTTATTTATATAATATAAAATCTAGAGGGAAATGACTGGAAACTCCCTCACAATCCAAGCAGATTAYTTATGAGTTCTGGGCATCCAAATTTTAACCAAAGAGCTGTGATAACTAAAGCAATCTGATTTAAAATCCACTATTAAAATTGTCTTTTCTAGGCATAGCAGTATCAGCTCCCCTTCAGTGAAATTTAGCAGTTCATGCAAAGCAGTTTTTGTTTTGCCATGGGACACGTTTTTGATCAAATACAACTGGGGTCTGTCAGGTAAATTCTGGTACCTGTTCATGTCAGGAAATAAAACCACGTTGGTTTTGCTGTTTCAAAGCACAAGCAGATTATTTTTATTGTGGCTCTTTTCATTCACTCTGCTCTAATCATCAGAAAAAGGAAGGATACAGTCAGATAGCCTTCACTGAGATGGTTTTATACCTGTGGAAATCCTTTAAGGTATCCAGGAATGAATATTCTGTGTTCAGAGGGGTGGCTGGAGAAGGAACAAACTGCCAAACCATGCCAGCATGCTGCATGTCAGACAAACCTCACCCCAAAAACCCAAAACCCCAAACCCACACCACACCAGCACTCCAAATGAAAGGAAAACTGGCAAGAAAAAGCTGAAAAGGGGATTGGGTTTCACAGATTTCTGTGCTTTAGCAGGCAGCCATCAATGGTGACCAAATTCATCCCAATGATCGGGGTGGAGTGGCTGGGGTGGGATTTTTTTTTTTTTTTCTGGCAATATTTTTTTGGCACTCTGGCTCTTTGCTAATGAAAGTCACAAAGATTAATGCCAAAACATTCCCAAGGTAGCTCTGGTTAGTGGAATTTAGTGTCTGCAAGAGAGAGAAGAGGCAACACAGAGGCTTCTGCCAAGGGGTACTTCTCGTACATCACACTGAGAACAATTCTTCTGGCCCAGAGTCTCTACTGATCTCGCACCAGAKTGAGGACCATTAGGTGCCAAGTCTGGTTTCCTATCTTGAGACTTTCTTTCTTGGATTCTACTATTAATTTCCAGCTGCAGTCTRCACATCTGCTCCTGCAGGTCACTGATCAGGTTCACTACTGACTGAAAACATGGGAGGAAAGGAAAAAAAAAAAAGACAAAAAAGAATAGACAGGTGAGAAAAAAAAATGATGCAAAGGATATATTTCTACAGCTGCAGCACAAAGAACTACATGAAGCACATCAAAGGCAAACTAAAAAAAGACAGATTATGCATTTCCTTTCCTATAAAGTAGATGCAAATGAGTATAACACTGGAATATTGCACAAAGCCACAGTTTACATGGAACAGAATCGACATTCCAGACTACTTCATGATTCTGATTCTGAAGTTAAGATCAGGAGCATTTTTTGGAAAGTTTTATAGCCACGTGAGGGGAAATCTGGAATATATTTTAATAAGCTGGCTCAGAAGCACACTTCTGCTGAAATGGGWCTTGATTACATTCATTTGCACTTCCCAAATCACTGCAGGAAACAACTGCAGAGTGCTCAGCTCTCCCARTTTATACCCAGAGTTTATTCAGAGCAATTCTGTTCCCAGCTCTAGCACAGGGCAGAAGAATGACTCCATTACCTCTCTTGCTGTCTGGGCAGGCTCTTGGCATGGAGGAGTTAAGCACCAGATGCAGGAGAAATCAGGAGGATTCCACAGAAGAAAAAGAAATTATTTCAAAGTGCACTGATTTGCTGGCCAGTTTCTTGGATTTTTGTGTATCAGTGATACACACACAAAAAAATCCAGTTTAGAAAGCAAACCAAAGCCAAGCATTAAAATCTCCAGAACTTTTCACCTAATTCCTGACTCTGTAGAAAGAGCACTGGGTATTTTTTCAGGWGTCACAAGTTTGGAGTGCCTTTCTTTTAGCTGTCATGAGCATTAGCAGCATAAGCTTTGTGATTCCTCAATCTTAAATGGAATAAATTTAATGAAATTAATCTATCCTCCAAAGGAGTGAGAAAGATTTTGGTGAACAGAACAACAGGTGATGTGGCAAATGTATTTTAATATTTTTTTTCATTACAGTTGCCAACAGTCCTCCTGTAACCTCAGCTCTCCAGAAATCCAGAGTAAATTTTTCAGCTACTGCAAGAACAGGACATTATCAGCACCCACGATCAACTTCAAACATTCACAAAGCTTCACCTAACTGATACCCACACTTTGTTCAAGACTTCCACACATTTGAGTATTTTTTAGGTCACTGTGCTTAAGATGAAAWTCAGAAAAGCCATTCCATAGATTTCACTTTGTGATCCTGATTGAGAATGATATGCACAATGTCTGAGGCTCATCCTCTCTCATCCAATAAACTTTTAATGGACATAAATGAGGATTAGGTCTCTTTTTTTTACCATCCTCTCCATGTCAGGAGCCTCACAGAGCAGCCCCAGCTGGGGATTGAACTGGCAGAACACACTTCCATCTCCCTCACTTTTTTTTTTAAGCACCAAGCCTTGGTCTGTGGCCCTCTTTGGCCAGAGCCCTGTGAGGTTCTGCAGAAGGGCTGCTCAAACAGGATTTCTGAGCACAGAAATTGCCACCTTGCATTTCTCTCTTTTGCCTCATCATTAAAACAGGGGAGAGGAAACACTGCATCCACACAGACTGCCCACAGGGACAGTACAGAAATGGCAGAAATCCCTATCCCAGCACAACTTCAGCTTCACAATCCTTGTCCCAGCACAACTTCAGCTTCACAATCCCTATCCCAGCACAACTTCAGCTTGTTCCTTCACAACTGATTCCAGTTTCAAGGTAGAACAGCCTTTCTGAGGTGCTTTCACAGCACAAACATTTACTAACACCAGCTCCAACACCTCGATTCAGATGAGACATTCAGCTCCCCATGGCAGTCAGTGSCTCACTGGCTCAGGTTTCTTTGGAATTCCAAGTAGCCTTGTRCTCCAGAATGTTTGATTCAGAAGCTACAAGAGCAACAGAATCCTTGCCAGCAGCTTATAGGCAACCCACAAAATAATCCAGTGCTACAAGAAGAAGAAGCAGAAGGGCTGTCAGGAAAACTGAAATAAATGCACAATTACTGAGAGGGACAGAAAGGCTCTTTTACCCATGTTCAGGTAGGGCAGATATCTGGGCAGGCATCAATCATTTGATAATGCCTCTTGTTAATGTCTAAGAAAAATATTTTCAAAATTTCTGAGCCTTCTCTGATAAAAGAAAAGCTTCACAAGCCCCCCAAGRTGAGACTCCAGAAACCTCCATAACATTACTGCATCAAAAGCAGGACATCATTCCACAGAAAAGGAATTAAAATGATGAAACCAAGAGCCCATGTGCAAGCAGGAATTGTCCTTCCTGGCCCCTGTGTAATATATATATAAATAAATGGCACTTTAAATTTAGTATGTGCTTTTGAGGAGCCAGAGACAAGTGGCATCCCCTGTGAAATCAATACCTTTGGGAGGCTGGAGATGCTTGGTAAACTCCTTGCTGCTAACTAAAACCAAACCTAAAGACAGCTGCACCAGATAAAGTGAAAKGAATCTCACACACTGAAACTCACTCATATTTACAGCTTTATTTATTTGCTTTCTTTYCTCCCAGCCCAACCAGAAAAATAATTCTACAGATGAATTCTAAGTGACTGGAAATAGCTGCTGTGAAAAGAGATGATGCAAAATGAGAATACAGAGYAAATGTGGTTGAGCTGAATGATCCTGCAATGCCACCTTTAATTTTAAACCTTTTTAAAACCCCATTATTATATTTAGAAATAGCAGGGTCAGCCATGAAGTATCATTAGCAAGCTGTTTAAAATAAAGGTTTAACTACTGGAGGCCAATAACAAGAGAAAACTACAGGTAGACTTTGTGTTTGTCAAAGTGGTTTCTTCATTAGAAAGTTGTAATTGGGCAATGGAGGCAAATAATTCAGAAAAATGCTCAAATTAAGCAGCTTTATAGTACAACACTATAAAGAAAATTAATTAATACATTTCATTCTGATATTTGAAATTGTGTCTGTATTGAAAAATTATAATTTCCTGTATAATTTACAGGAAAAGGAGTGAAATAGGGTTAAGGCATCAGAATTCAGCTAAGCATCCAATTTGATTGAAAGCAAATCATTATCCTGATAAATTGGATTAACACTTTTTCAGGAGAACCTGAAATAATTATATCAATAGCTCAACAAGCAAACCAAAAACGCTGTTGCTTTCCTGAGCAACACCCATTCTCCTTGCTTTGCACACAGAGCTCTGCAACTTTCAACAAGCCAGAAATCTAATCACACCTTCGGGCAGTTAATAATTCAGCACATCCCTAACACAACTCATTGTCAGCTTTTCCATCAGATTAGAATCCTTTTCCATCCCAGCACCAGCGTGTCCTGTCACTTAGCAATGCCACAAAGGCATCCAGGCCATGAAAGCTCAACTTTTCCATCCAAGGGGCAGCAGCAGAATTTCACTGCTCATGGACCTGCTGGGCACTCAAAAATCCTATCAATAATCCACACCCAAGATCTCTGCTGCTTTCCAGGAGCCAGGCTGGCTGTGCACACCCTGCACTAATTCAGGCATCTCCATCCCAGTATCCCAATGGGAAGCACTGGGAGCTGCAGCCACCAGTGCTGCTCAGCTTTTCAGGATTTTCTGTACACACAGCACTGACAATTCTGCCTGAAAGAGCACGAGAAGGTGGTGAAAACAGCAGCTGCTGCCTCTCTGGCTTGCAAGCTCTGCCAGGAATTGCTCTCTTTACCTTATCTTTGGATCTCGAAGGAAAACTTCAGAGAATAAATAAGTTGAAAGCAAACACATCCCAAATGAACCACGTCACGGCAGCTGAAGTACTGATACATTTATTGCATATTGCTCCAGAAGGGTTAGGGAGAGCAAACAGTTCCCAATGCTGCCTGGATTTCTAATTCTCCTAAGTCAATATGGAACAAAGTTTGGGTTTTTTTTTTTTTTTTTTTTTTTTCCAAAGAGACA